GCTTCTCCTGTAAAAAGGAGGGGCACCAGGCCAAGGACTGTCCGGGTGCGGGGCTGGCCTCAAAGGCCACGAAGACAAAGGGGGGGCCTGGAAAGAAGGCTCCACCCGTGAAGAAGAAAGGGGGAAAGGCCGAGGGATCTCCCGGAGCGCAGCCCGCTAGTGGATGAGATTCCTTCAAACGAATCTCAACCACTGTCGGGCCGCTGGGAGCTCGTGGCCGGGGACTTCAACGCTCACTCCCCGGTCTGGGGGTCGGCGGACACGAATCAGCGTGGCGAAGAACTGTTGGACCTGATGTCGGCCCTCGGGCTAGTATCGGCCAACAGGGGATCCACCCCGACGTTCGAGGGTCACTCCTCGAGCTCGGTGGTGGACGTCACGCTGGTGTCTCCGTCGCTGCACCTGCACGTGACCGGCTGGTCGGTTCTCCCGTACAGAGAAAACCTCAGCGACCACCGGTACATCGTTTACGAGTGCGGCGATGGCGGCCGTCCCCCTCGAGCCGTGCCCCGCGTGCCGTCTCGCGGTGGGCGAGTGGGCTGGCGAGTCGGACCGGCCACGGACTTCGACGCTTTTGAGACGGGCTTATTGCTCGCTCAATGGTCGGCGCCCGCGGTACCGGACCGGCGCGTCTCCGCGAGCGAAGCGGCGGAAGAGTTGGACCGGAGGGTGGTCGCAGCTTGCGACTTCGCCCTCCCGGCCAAACGACCGCCGTCGACTCGCGGACCGCCAGTCCACTGGTGGAACGCCGAGGTGGCGGTCAGGCGTGAGGAGTGCGTCAGGGTCAGGAGGACTATGACGCGCTCCAACCGTTGGCCGCGGGACCCGGAATCCCCGGACCCGAGGGAGGCGCTGAGGTCGGCCCGCAAAGAGCTGAAGCTCGCCATCAGGCGGGCCAAAGCGAAGTGCTGGGCCGAACTCGTGAAGTCGGTGGACCACGACCCGTGGGGGAAACCCTACCGGGTCGTTATGCGGAAGCTCCGCGGTTCACCGGCTTCCGGTCAGCTGGAGGCGGAAGTGCTGGAAAGGGCGATAGACACACCCGCCTCTGCCTCCCCTTGCGTTCGGGGACGACGTGTCGGTGGAGGAATTCACCACCCAGGAGGTGGCCGACGCGGTGGCGCGCGTACGGGGCCGGAACACAGCTCCCGGCCCTGACGCGATTCCAAACCGGGTGTGGGGGTTGGTAAACGACCTCGCCCCGGACTGGATACGCGCCGTCGCGAACCGCTGCCTCTCGGAGGGTGAATTCCCCACGAAGTGGAAGAAGGCCAGGCTGGTGCTTCTGAGAAAGGGTGACAAGCCCGAGGGTCTCCCCTCGTCGTACCGACCGCTTTGCATGTTGGACGACTTGGGGAAAATCCTCGAGCGGCTGCTCGTCACCCGGATCGAAGCCCACCTGGCCGACGTCGGCGGACTGGCCGAGGGCCAGTATGGTTTCAGGAGGGGGAGGTCGACGGACGATGCGGCCTCCCTCTTCAGGGACTTGGCCCTCAGGGCCAAAACTGAGCAGGGCTTCGGGTTGGCGGTGAGCCTGGACATCCGAAACGCGTTCAACTCCGTGCGATGGTCACACATCCTCGGAGCGCTGGACGCGTTTCGGGTGCCTCCTTACCTCGGGCGGATGATCCGGTCGTACTTTAGCGATCGGGTCATCTCTTACGAGAGCGCCGCGGGCCCGAGAATCCGACCTGTTACGGGAGGCGTCCCGCAAGGGTCAGTTCTCGGGCCTTTGCTGTGGAACATCGCGTATGACGCGGTGTTCCGCGTTCCGCTACCACCACACGTGCGTGTCGTCTGCTACGCGGACGACACGCTGGTGGTGGCGGAAGGCGCCTCGTCCGAGGAGGCTGGATCCCGGGCAAACTGCGCGCTCAGAGCAGTCTCCGCCTGGATCCAGCAGGAGGGGAGTGGACTTAGCCTCGCCCTGGACAAGACCGAAGCGGTCTTGTTCACGGGCAGGTACAAGTTCACTCCTCNAGCAGGTACAAGTTCACTCCTCTACGGCTCGCCGTGCTGGGGGTGGAGATCCCGCTTAAGGACTCCATGACTTATCTAGGCCTCGTCATAGACAAACGTCTAAAGATCGGGCCGCACATTACTCGTGCGGCCCAGCGGGCCCAGAAAGTCATGAATTGCCTGGCGGGAATCATGCCCAATCTGGGAGGGCCGAGAGAGATGCG